ACCGCATCACAGACGCCACGTACCACGAGACCCAGGGGTCCTCGTCCCACCAGTAGACTGGGACCCAGGCGGGCAGCACGAAGCACAGCAAAGGCATCGTCACGAGATACGTCCTGTGCAGCAAGGGAACGGAGATGGTCAGTCGCTTGAAATGCACGTCGAGGGACAAGGGCGCTGGCCGAAGCGGAAGGAAGTCGCAAGGGGGTGGAGAAGTTTGCATAGTGGGATGCCTGATGATTTGTACTCTGCACCAAACAGATTATTACTGTCATGTTTAAATGAAGGAAGATGGGGTGGCCGGGTATGTAGCACGTATAGAAAGACTGAGACATGATTTAAATTTGTATCAGAAATCAGGAAGGAATAGGCATAGGTGGGAGGATGTTAATGAAACGGAACTTCGTGAAAGACGGTGTGGATTGGTGTCATCTGAGCTTAGTGGGTTTTTGTGAATACTGTAAAGAAAATTGGGTTCCATAAAAACGGAAGATGCTTGTTGCATTGTTCTTACAAATGGCGAACTAAATGCAGACGAGAGGATCCACTGTTACGTAACGTGGATCTTGAGGAACTCTTGGACGAACACTGCCTTGAAGCACAGGCACATTTGTCGCCACTCCTGAGCCATGAAGGTTCTGAACGCGATAACCGACGCTGAGCTATCTACAAGTGCCCCCTTTTTCATAAAACTCGAAATATCATGATCACAAAATCCTCACGTAGGCGCCTGTCCTGAGTCAGATTCCTCCAGTCGACACGAACTCTCGCACTCATTCCATTTGAGACCATTCAAATGTTATGAGCGTGTTCTACATTTCCGCTTTGTTTACGTCTAGACCATCCAACTCGAAATCCCCTAGTACTGGTTTGGAGTGCTTCTTTATGGTGTCAATGTTCTCGCCTAAGAAATTAACATCGTTTAGACCTGAAGCTGATGTGTGTCACCCAGAGTTGATATTCAAGTAATGGAGATTAATTAATCCTTGTCGCCCGCACTACTTTTTGCAACGTCAACGCCAGTCAGTTGTCAATTCACACGACGTAAAATTCGTTGCAATTTGGTAATCTCATTTTTCGGAGTGACTTGCGAATCTTTGAGTAATTTTAACGACATCTGTTTAAACTCATGTTGTTTGATCCGGGTCGCGTTCTTAGTCTCTTTGTATGCTTCGTTACCCTTCCTCAAAAACACAGATCACACGGCCTGCAATGGGAATCTGGACCTTAAATGTGAATTCGGAAGAATCCGGAACGAGGCGGCCCCGAACTATTTGAAGATATAATCTCGGCATTTCCTTGTCGGAATTGACGGAAACCACGGAGATTTTAAAACTGCTCAACCGGCCTGTAGTCAGGGAATAGAACCCAAGACCTCCGTAACACGGATGAGGTCTGGCGTCGTTCTGAGCATTAGCGTTCGACGTCGGAACGAAACAGGGGGGGATCAGTGTTGCCAATCTTAACTAATGATTCTGGTATAAACTTCAGATGCCAGATTTTCTTCAGACCCAGTACGCCGAGTAACACAATGGTGCCTACTTAACAATTAATGCCTTTAGCCTAGTTTTACTAATAACATTTTAATAGTTTGCGCCTCGTGTTCACTAGGTTAGTCCACACGCTGCACGTCATGTGACTCCGACCGGGAGGAGTTCCGAACGCAGTGCCACATCCGCATTTCCTGTTGACATTCCTGGAAATTTATTAAAAATATTTACTAACTTACACGCGAAAACGGTTCATTGATCTCCAAATATTACGTTTATTTTACGTCGTTGCAGTTCAGATGACTCAGTAGGACGCGTCCTGATCTGACAAACTTTCATTAGACTGAACGATGCTGGCAGTAGACCCGTCTGCCAGAAACTGTC